GCTCCACGACGACGTGATTGACCACTCCGTCTCGCGGAGAGGCGCGCCTTCGGCGAATCTGGAGTTTGGAAACAAGATGGCCGTGTTGGCAGGTGACTTCCTCCTTGGACGGGCATCGGTCGCGCTCGCACGGTTACGACATGCCGAGGTCGTTGAGCTCCTGGCGACCGTTATTGCGAATTTAGTGGAGGGCGAGTTCATGCAGCTCAAGAACACGGCGCGCGACGAGACCAACCCCCGCTGGTCCGAAGACACGCTCACCTACTACCTGCAAAAGACATACCTCAAGACGGCCTCGCTGATCAGCAAGAGCTGTCGTGCGGCCGCATTGCTAGGAGGTTCCGATGCCCAGACGGTGGATGCAGCCTACGTCTACGGCAAGAATCTGGGTCTGGCATTCCAGCTTGTGGACGACATGCTCGACTACACCCGCAGCGAGAAGGAGCTCGGCAAGCCTGCTGGAGCGGATTTGGAGCTTGGGCTGGCCACCGCGCCACTGCTCTTTGCATGGAAGACGATGCCAGAGCTCGGTGCCTTGGTTGGGAGGAAATTCGAGAGGGAAGGTGATGTCGCTAGGGTAACGTTTTTGTCTTCGCTTCGCCTCGCTTATATAGAGGGGAATGCTAACGGAAGGTTTCATAGGCCCGCGATCTCGTCATGCAGAGCGACGGAATCGAACAGACACGAGCGCTAGCGGAAGACTACGCCGAGCAGGCCATCGCTGCCATCCGGCCATTCCCTGACAGCGAGGCCAAGGATGGCCTCATAGAGATGGCTGTCAAGACTTTGAAGCGGAATAAATAAACGATAAATAGAGAGCGCAGCCTGCGCTATGTTTATGTATTGTACAATACCAGTATTATTAGACGACGCGTGCTTCACGTAAAGGTTGGGGACAGATGGGGTATATATAGACACCAATACCGGCCAACACATGGGTCAATGTACAAAGAAGACAAAACTCAGCGCGCGTGTACAATAGCAGGAGGTTCAAGACGAGATGAATATGAGGATTGGGACAAGGGGGTTGGTTGCTGGTTGTATCATCTCGGGGGACCCCGATTCAGCTCAAATATTTGCGTTGATCTGACTTTTTATCGGTCGCGGTTTCATGTCCTCACAATGTCCCTACCGAAAACGTGAGCCGAGATTCACAGAGCTGAAATGCGCAGCCAAAGGCTCATAATCGGGTGCTGCAGTGATATTTGAGGTATTGCTCTTACCCCTGACTCGCAGAGTATTAACCCGTTTATCTACCCCGTTGTCCCAGTGAAACGAGGATGACCCGGATTACCCAGCTCGATATATATCTAAGCTCCGTTGGATTGCCCAATACTCTATTTTCCCTGTCGCCATGACATGTGCTTTGTGATGGGAGTTGGTAAAGTTTGGGTCACATCCCCCGGGTAAATCGCAAGCTCAATCTAAATTGACCTCCCACCTGCCCGGAGCCCCCTTCCCCGTCATCTTGCCTACATATATATATATATATGGAAGCTTGTTATATGACATCCATAAATAAAGCATACGTTTTGTAATATTTTATTTTATATATTCTGCTTCCCCACTTTCCAGGCTTTGCTGTCGTTCGCTCTTTCGGTTTGCTGAGCATCATGTTTCTATGTGAGCCTTCTCTCGTATTTTCATCATGAGAGGACGGTATCTAGATCTTATTAGTGGTGGCTTGCTGCTGCTGTTAACAAGCGCGGATGCTGTAGTATTAGCAGCACAAATAACACCACAGTCAAGGCAAGCGTCAGAGTATGCATCATCGTCATCAACCCGGACACGCATCTGGTCCACGGTCGAGAGCACAATAACGTACTACCAGTTCATCAACCCGCGCAAGATCACGCTGTACACCACCAAGACAGTCACCAGTCTGGAACCCTATTATTACCCGATCACGTCCTTCCCGACGACGGTCACGGAGGTGGTGATCTCGCATGTCACGTGGGAGGGCAGGACGACGTACTCAAACGGGGAGACGAGCACGTCGGTGACGAGTTTTGTCGTGACGAACCCGGAGACGTGGGTGGTTAGTCAGCCTAGAGAGACTGACTTACCTGCTGGTGTGGGGGCGGATGAGTTGCCTTGTGGGGATTGCCCCTCAACATCATCATCCGGGACAACTTCCACCCTATCCAGTTCGGGCAGCTCTGGTTCAGGTTCGGTATTGGGATCAGGCACGGAGACAGGGGTAGGGGAGGTACAGGTTGATGTGAGATGTGAAGCGCTCGGGTTGAGGACGGGGTGTCAGGGGCAATGTGCCTCCCGCTACGGTAACGGGGAGAATGGAGGAGGTGAAGGAGGAGAAGAATCGTTGTGGTGGTGCTATCAAATGCACGAGCGCGAGTATACCAACCCTTCCCTGAGAATGGGCCGGGCCTGCTGGGGTGGAAACCTGCAGTTCGTCCAGCTCAACGAGCCGTGCGTACAGGGGGACAGGGCCGTCGCGTGCGTGCCGTGTCAGGGGGTGAATGCGTCTTGGGGGGCTGTTAATTGGTCTGGGCCTGAGTAATTAAACAAGTGGGAATGGGAACCGTTGGTCTGGGGAGGGGCTGGAATAACCACGAAAATAGTCTGGCTGCCTGCCTTGCTTTCGAATACGACTGTACAATAGCTGTGCATGATGGCATCAAGTTTGCATTTTTGAAGGCTGATGCAGTAACGAAGGACTAAAGAACTAGCACATCAGATCAAAGACCAAACGCCCCGAGACTTGCTTCTCTTAAGACATACAAGTAGATTGTCCCAGCATTGAACGGCTGCTACAGTTTGGACGCCTCCTCGGGGCTCTTGACTTCTACCAACATTTTTCCTATCAACCCAGTTAGTAACTGGCGATATCATAGCTGTACGGGCAGAGAGGACTCACCAATATTCGATCCCTTGTAAAGCTGGACAAGCGCCTCCTCGGCATTCTTGAGTCCGCCCTTGACGACAGTCTCTCTTCGTTTGATCTTGCCCTCACTCAGCCACTGCGCAAGCTGTTTCCTCGCGGCTGGGTACTCATCGGCGTAGTCGAACACGATGAAGCCTTGCATCTTGATCCGCTGCGAAATGACGCTGAAGAAGTTCTGCCCACACATCCCCGTCAGCACCCTCCCTCCTTCCTTTATGGTTGTACATACCTTAGGCCCCTGCTTAGTCTCAGCATTGTACTGGCTGATCCCGCCGCACATGACGAACCGCGCGAACTTGTTCGCCCTGCCGAGGGCCATGTCCAACTGTTCCCCGCCCACTGTCCCTTGTTAGCCCCTTTTGTTTCCCCCTTTTGCCCTGTTTGGGAGGTGCTTACCATTATCCCAATAAACATCAATGTATTTCGGCGTGGCCTCCTTGAACTTTTGTCTGAACTCCGGGTCTTTGTAGTTGAGCGCCACGTCGAGCCCCAGCTCCTCTCTTAGCCACTTGCACTTTTCATCAGACCCGGCGGTGCCCACCACCCTCGCTCCCATGATCTTGGCGATCTGCGCGGCGACAGACCCAGTCGCCCCGGCCGCGCCAGAAACCACCACGGTCTCCCCGGGCTTGGGCTCTCCGATCTTCACGAGGCCAAAATACGCCGTCAGGCCGGTCAGTCCGAGAACGCCCATCAGGTCGGTGATCCTGCCGTTCTGCGGGAGCGGGAAGGGGGGTTCGACCATGGACTCGGGGAGTACGCCGACCTCGCGCCAGCCGAGCATAGCCACGACGGTGTCTCCGGCCTTGGCCTTGGAGGACTTGGAAGCCAGCACGCGGCAGATGGTGTTCCCGCGCATCACCTCGCCGATCTGGACGGGGGGTACGTAGGAGCGCCGGTCGTCTAGCCATGCCCGCATGGCGGGGTCGAGAGAGAGGTACAGACCTTCCAGGAGGAGCTGCCCGTCTTGCAGATCTGAGGGTGTGGGAGCGGGGAGGGTGCGTTGACGGAAGGTCTTGCCGGGGACGATGTCGCCGACAGGACGCTCGGCGAGCTCGATTTGTAGGGATTGACGGGCCATTTTTTTTTTTGGCTTAATACTATGGACCTCTTCCTGGTAAGAGGTTGATGTTGTGTGATGTTCAGGTGAGTTGGAGTGGGAAGGTGGTGCACAGGTTGAACTTGGAAATAATTACGGAGGGGTTTTGTGTTGACTTTAACCGGCGGCAGCCATTGCTTTCTTATATTACGGAAGTATCAACACGGAGGATGTGCTAACGTGTATGAATCCGGGGTCGACTACCGCATACGGGGCAGACGCCCGGTATGTATGTAACTATGTAAGTTCCACACACCGCAGCGGCACCTCCGGCGGCCGAGGTCAAGACTGATTTGCTTGCTGCCCGCACGGATATAGCTATGTAGGTCGTCATGATTACCATCATTACGCGCCCAGTGCAATAGGCTTCAATTTGCGTTACAAACACAAGTCATGCAGTTAGCTTCCGTAAGCCACGACGCAATTCGTCTCAAGAAATACCGTTTTCATTAGCTTTTTTTTTTTTTTTTTGTAAAGGTATTGCGAGTTATCGCCATGATTGCAAATCAGCAAAGCTATGGGCTAATACATATGGAACAATTGCCGAGGCAAGTGGTGCTTGGACAAGCCACGGCGGGTCGGCGCACCTCAATTGGTCGCAACCACCGAGAGCATCATCACCTCACCTCCGTGTCGTGTGTGCAAGGCCCAAATGCGGCAATAGAGTTGTGCCAGCCAGTAATTGTGAGAAGCTAAAAAGGCTTAGAAAGAGGGTTTTCGTTTCAGCTTAACCGGACCATACCTATTTATCAGTCGATTATTCTCTACGTAAAAGCCGATTGGTATGTACTGTACTGAGTCAGGTCGCGAGTCGAGTGTGGCATGCACACTACCTATTCTACAGCGCAGTGCCCGCTATAACATGCCTTTAAGCAGCCCCCCCCTTCCGCACTAATGCACCGGTTAGTGGGTTATAGGAGGACAGCAAGACACTTGACAGCCCAGCTGCCCGCGATCGGGACTACATAAAGCAAACAGATTTCGGCAAAAACGCATGGCGAAATGGCCGAGTGGTCGATGGCGGACGATTTAAGTACACCTTTCAGGTTCTTTACTAATCTCGTCTTCCCGAGAGGGAGCGTGGGTTCGAACCCCACTTTCGTCATAACCTTTTATCACTTTATCACTGGCGCTCTCAGGATTTCAGCGGTTATACTGCTAGCGTTCTTTTTGCTTTTTTTCCGCCCACACTTAGTAATAGTCTATGGCACGTGGTCGTGAATGATCTCGGCGCAGTGTTGGTATTGTCTAGTGTTGATTCTACGGTATCTAGGTAAAGGATACCGTCTTATTACAGAGTTATCTATATTGATGGAACTGGTTTTACAACACCGGTAAGTAGGTAAACGAATCGAGGATTGGATGGCCACAGCTTCAACGGGCAAGTAAGCCCCCCCGCGTAGATAACCCCGATTTTCATTTGATCCCTCAAAACAGTTTTCTCATTCTAACTAAATAGACTAAAGTTTAGGTGTTATTATCTGGACGACCGTGACCGCGTCCTAACAACCCTCAACAGCCCCCACGCCACCACCCTGTACGCCGCCGTGCACCCCAGTAACGCGAGTATGTTGACCACCGGGTCGACGTCCAGTTCGTACAGTTCCAACACCTGCTCCCCTGTACTTATCACACACTGCCCATCTGGCAGCATTTGCTCTGCGTTACACGTAAATGTTACTCCCCTCAGACTAATCACCGCGAATGCCCGGACCGCATATCGTATCGGACTCAGATAGTTCATCGCCTGGAAGAGCTTGGGCATGTCGATAGACATGATACCCGCCATTATCTGTGCGACGCTGAGGAACACGCTGGTCAGGTTGACCGCGAAGCCCGTGTGGCTGCTGAAGAGCGTGTTGAACATGATGCCCAGGCTCTCCCCGCACGAGACGATCGCGAAGCAGACAAAGCTCGCGACAAAGTACATCTCTGCCGTTCTGGGCAGTCCCACCGCCAGGTCTGCCAGGATACCAAACATGAGCGCGCTAACCACCTCGAAAGGCACCTCCAACAGCGTGTAGGTGGCGAGGAAGGGTTCGACGCTGTAGATGTAGTCGTCCGACTCCCGGTAGAAAACGTCCCTCTCCGAAGGATAGATGGCCACGTTCTGCAGCATCCCCACAAAGTACAAAGCGCCCACTTGCTGAACAAACCCGATACGGGTCTGAATCGAGTAAAAATCGTGATGGATTGGCGCTATAAATAGCGTAAGGACCAGGCCCAGACCAATGACCTGCATGGTCCGAGCCAGTATCAGGTCCGGCTGACGACCGAGGTTCAAGGTTGCGCGATCTAAAAGGATGGGGAAGGCGGATAAGAAGCCGGCGCGTTTGCGGACGAGTGCGCCGAGTTCTGCTGGTGTTGCCAGGGTTGACTTCATTCTCTTGTTACTATGAGGTGGTGGTCGTCCATCGGGATCCATTGTGGGCTGCTCTGCTAGTTTTGCGGTGGTGTTATCGTCAGAGCTGCTGTGCTCTAACTCTTCCTCCTTGATATTTATCAGACGGGCTTCTTCTTTCCGAGGTTGTTGTTGGACAGGCTGAGATGCCCCCTCTGTTGTGTCAGGGTTTGCTGCTGCGCGAAGAGCTGCTTCTTCCATCTTGTGCTGCTGCCAAGCCTCAACCAACCCTTTTACCCTTTGCCTTGTGTCAGCTTCCCTCTGCTGCTCCTGCAAATCAATCGTGATCAGGTCAAGCGCAAAGTCCGCGGGGTTGGTGTGTTTCGGACACGCAAACCCAAGCCCCTTGAAGTATCCCAACATGCTCCTTGCCGGGCCAGAGTACACCGGTGATCCCCCTCTGGCGAGCAGAAGGACATTCCCAAAATGCTTGCTGAACAGATCTGACCTCGCCTGATGGATGGTCAAGATAATCGTCCGTCCCTCCTGGGCCAATCCCAGGAGCACCTCCATTATGGAGGATGCAGTAAATGCGTCCAGGCCACTCGTCGGTTCGTCCAGGAGCAGGATATGAGGGTCTGTCAAGATCTGCACCGCGATGGATACCCTCCTCTTCTCCCCTCCCGAGATACCCTTGACCAAGTCGTTGCCGATTAGGTTATTAGCACAGTCCCTCAGACCCATCTTGAGCAGTGCTTCCTCTGCTCTCCTGTGTTTCTCCGGGGCGGTCATGAAGGGCGGCAGTCTCAGTCCAGCTGCGAATCGCAACGTCTCACGGACCGTTAGTGATGGTAGGAGCGCGTCGTCGTCCTGGCAGACGTACGAACAGACCGATCTAACCACGGTCTCAGACGGCACAGCTCCGTTAAACGTCATCTCTCCCGATGGTCGGTAGCGCGTTCCAAAACTGTTGCCCAGCCGTAACGCCATCGCATTGAGCAACGACGTCTTGCCACTCCCCGACGGACCCATGATGACGTTCAGAACCCCGGCCTGGAATGTCCCGGTTACTGGGTTGAGAATCACCTTTGTCGTTTTTGGTTTGTGTGGAAGAAGAGACCGCTTGTCGAGCGTCAGTGCAAACCGGTCTAATCCCACATCAATCGTGCGGACCTCTGCCAGAGACGGAGGCTTGGCCAGCTTCTCCTTTCCGGCTGATAGATCTGCTTCCGACCCAGATCGCGCTCGGGAGATGGTCATTTCGACCTGGAGAGTCTCCAGGCCGACCCACGAGAGAGCAAAGAAGAAGACGACGAAAGCGGCAAGGACCACAATCGGGCGCCAGACCCAGTTCTCCGGAAAGCCGAGCGAGTCCATGATGTACCTCCCTGTGTACGGCGCACAGGCCGGGTTGGATGGACCACCGTCGAAAGGGCAGCCGTAAAAGCTTCCTTCGAATTCGTTTCCGCAGAGCGCTCCCATTACGTAGTACTGCCGCATGTTAGCTTCGTCTTCTTACACTCCTGCGTAAACTTGGACACTTACAGCGTAGGCAACGTACTTCAACCATCTTGTCCACGGAGGGATGGTGTTGCTCTGAATGAAGAATCCACAAGCCATGCTCTGCAGGGTGTAGTTCAGGTTGGCAACCAGTGTTGCGCCTGCAAAGTTCCTAACAGCTGCTACGCACGCCGTGGCACAAGCCACAGCGATGTAATGGTTCAGCAGCACGATCGCAAAGAAGGTAAAGAACTTGGCCGCACCCCGATCGAACCCTGTCATGAAGTAAAAGATGACAGAGAACAGAAAGGGAACGGGAATGTCTTCGGTGAAAAGCCTGGCCAGACGCCTTGACAGTAGCCAGGGCAGAGAACTGGCAACCCCTTCGCTATGCTCGCGGTCAAAGGTCGGCATGTCGATGGTCAGCCGATACACCTCAAACATGAGGAACAAATACCCCTGAAGGGCTGATGCGGTGTAGAGAGCGCCTTCACGGGATCGGATCCCACTCTGATCACGGGCCAGATTGTAGAAGATGTACCCGTTCACCAAGCCCATCAAGACAGCCTCGAGAAGGGCAGCAGCCATCCCCATTGGATCGCGCACGGTTACACGCGACGTCCGGGAAGTCTGGACTCGTAGCTGTCGTACGAAGCCCGCATGCTGCTCTACCACGACACGCCGCGTGCCTGGAGATGCCGCAGCTTTCTCGCCTGTATTCTTGTTCAGGGACTCTACCCCAAACATCTTCTCCGCTTCCGTGACCCAGCTTGCTTTTAGCCGCTGCACCCTAGCGTTGCTCTCCTCTTCGAATTCTGGCGTACGATTGTCGATAGCCGAGAGGTCGATCACAAACTCGGCAGGATTGACAAACACAGGCAGCTCATAGCCCAGTCCCTCAAACCACGCAAGACAGTTCTTGGCTGGACCAGAGTAGACTGAAGAACCTCCCTTAGTCAGGAGGATGAGGTTGTCAAACAGGTCCCATATCTCGGACCGGGGCTGGTGTATCGTCGTGACGATTGTCCTGCCCTTAGCAGCCAGCGTCTTCAGAGTTCTGACCAGCTGAAAGGCACTGGTAGCATCGAGACCAGTGGTGGGCTCGTCCAGAAATAGGACAGACGGGTTCGCCAACATCTGCACGCCAATACTGACACGCCGCTTCTCACCGCCCGAACATCCACGGTGAATGCTGTTGCCGATGCGCGTGTCGGCGCATTCCTTGAGCCCCAGCTCCAAGATGACCTCTTCGACAATACGCTTGCGGTCGGCGGCTGAAACTGAGGGGGGCAAACGGAGCTCGGCCGAGTACTGTAGGGTCTCGCGGACGGTCAAGCTCGGCAGGAGGACGTCCTGCTGCATGACATAGGCATGACGGACGCTCTGCACGCCCGGAGAACCGTTGAAGAGCGTGGTTCCTGTCTGGGACAACCTCGAGTTGCTGCTGGTGGTGATGCGCTCGGCCATCGTGTTCAGCAAGGTCGTCTTGCCGGAGCCGCTGCCCCCAAAGATGGCCGTCAAGGTGCCTGGTTTGAGCAAAGCGCTGACCGAGTTGATGAGGACTTTGGTCTTGGCCTGAGCATGACCAGATTCGACATCCTTCTTCTTGCCGAACTTCTCCTTGAACAGCTCGGGATACGTCGACGGATCGAGAATAGATGGCGAGATATCGACCGTGACTGACAGGTCGCGGATCCGCACGTCGACGGGCTCGACATCTTCGAGCGAGATGGAGTTTGTACCCGCTACCACGAGCTGCTGCTGCTGCTGCCGCATCTTCTCCTGGGAGGGTGCTGGGTCCATCGAGGTAGCAGCCGAGCTGGCTTGCTCGATCTGGTCCTTCTCAACATCGGACTTTGCAAGATGACCCCCAGCAGGTAATGTGCTTCTTGAAGTTGTTATCCCACGAGCAGCCACATCATCAGCGGGCTGCGGAAGCCCAACCAGACCCTGCCCAGTCATGCCGAATATGCGTGGCGGGCTGAGCTATGTGAGAATTGGTTAGCTCAGGTTGCTGTATGGCGTTGATAGCTCCCCGCCCTGCATTCGTTAGATCTGGAATCCATCGAATGGAATCACTGAGCATTTAGGGCTGACAGGTTAGTGCTCCCGTCCAGCTGGGTTGGCCTTAAAAGAAGGAGAAGCGAGGAAGTTGAGAAGAAAGCAACCGGCCGAATGTTTGATGTGGAACACATCACCCTAAGCGATGTTGTAGAGCAAGGGAGAAGGAATGGACCCTTCCAAGCAAACACAAAGGAACTTTG